CATACATGTTTGACATTTAGTTTGGTTTCAGTTAGATAGTTAAGGATTTTGTTCTTAACTACTTGATTGTTTTTTCTTTTCGAAACTTACTTAGAAGACGTAGAAATTAAATCATAAAAATATAATCCATTTATTATTTAAAATTTGCTAATAAAACATAACAATTATTTTAAGAGAATTTTTTAGAAATACCCCTTTTGGTGTACCCCTTTTTAAAAATACCCCCTTTATCTATCCATTTTCAAAAATACCCCTTTTTAAATATACAAAATTATAAAGTTTTATATAGTTTATAAGGTACTTCTATATAATAACTACTAATGGGATATTCGATACAAATATTTTAAAATGTTTTAAATAGTTTTAAATCGTTTTTATAAGTTTTATAAGTTTTTTAAAAGGTTTTAAAAGGATTTATACGGTTTTTATAAGGTTTTTATAAGGTTTTTATAATTTATTTTTACGCTATTTATGAAAGGTATATAAAGTTTTATACACATATAAAGTAATTTGTGTATATATTTATAAGCTTACACACATATTTGGATAAATTTCAACATTTTTAGTGGGTTTTTTGATAAAGTTTGAAAATGGGGTGTTTTTAAAAAGAGGTATATGAAAAGGGGTATTTTTGAAATTCCCCCTTATTTTAATTTGATATATCCACTTATTATGTAGTTTTAATTTAGTAGTTAATGAGGTACCAAAATATATGAAATCTTGAATTTATAACGATCAAATAATTACGATGTAATTAAACTTTTATTTTTTATTTTTGGATAGTTTATGGATTTGAAATTGCATTATAGTTAGGAAAAATAATAATCGAATCAAATATTTTTCTAATTTTTGATTGGTTATGTTAAGTGCTAGTTATTAGGGTGATTGAGTTAATTCTGTATTTCTGAATAATTTTTTAAAAAATTGGATTATTGGTTTTTTAAAAGGAAAAACGGAAATATCTCATATGTAATCAATATATTTCAAACTCTTTTAATTTTTGTGCGATATTTTCGATATTGTTTTTTTTAATATGAAGATTTTATGTGAAAATAAGAGATTTCATGTGATATATAATTTTCGCATGATTTTAGCCAACAAATTTTTAATT